TTATGTTGGATGTTGGTAATTTTTCGAAAGTTTTTCTATTCGACTTGAAAAGGTTTTGCCAGCTGCACGAAATGAAACGTAATCGATGATTAATCGACAGTGTTTTACGTACATGATCATAGATGCATTTTTGCAAAATTATATGATAGCAACGGAAAGAATAATGCCCATAATTATTGTCAACGTTATTGTTGTATTCATGTAGAGTTCGTTTGGTTAGTATTAAAGATTAATTATAGTGTACTTATGTACGTAATATGTACGAGTAGTTCATCGTTTCATTACGCATCGTCAACGCAGTCTGTTCATAAACATTAATTGAATTGTACGTCATTCTTCAACGACTATTTATCACTTGAGTGACGTTAATGAATTTCAAATTTTAGCTGGCAAGAATGCTAAAATATGAAGAAATTCCTGGTGAGGATGGAGTTGAGATTGAAAAAAGTAAGCTTCTTAGTTGCCGTACACTTCTATTTCCTCCTTTTTAAAAAGGAGAACAGCTTCGGTATGGTAAACGGAAATGAATTAAGTGTAATGAATGATCTAACAGTTCAAGAAACAATTTACATTGTAATCTATGGTTATCGACCCAGTTATGGGAAGCCTTAAGCAGCAAAATCCTTTAATCCACAAATAGGGTTTTATGCATCTTGATTCCCTTTGGTTCACATCAACCTGGAGCAGTACCTCGCACCACGTTCAGCTATCATTTGAAAAAATTTTCCTTTACATTTCAGTTTTCTTTCCCTTAAAATCTTATTTGATTATTTAAGCGATCCAAATATTCAAAAAAAAAATGCTCCCATATCTTATCATTAAGAATACCGTTATCATCGGAAATATCACTAAACATTTTCAAAAAGAGTAAGAATTTCGTTCAGTGGACAACAATAATGAGCTGACGTGCATCGTTTGTGGTGATCAAGCAACCGGTAAACACTATGGTACAATTGCATGCAACGGCTGCAAAGGTACATCAGTTCATGCTTCTTCATTCACTTTCCTCTCTTACCATACAGAGAACAGTGCGTGCAGGAAACCTGATAAACTGACTGACTTACAGTTGCTTTGATTATTTCATGAATTGCGAGTGCATATAACATACACTGGCTTCGCACATGTCGATCGTCTTGGTTGAATGATTGACGCAGAAGTCGATAAGAATTGAAATTGTTGTTTATTTCATTGACAACTACAACATTTTCTGGCACTTAATTCTGATAACTTTTGAAGCGAATAGGTCAATCGTCGCCGTGATTCATCATATGGCATTTCAGTTCGCTCTTTTGATGTGATTTAATCATCAGATGTAAATCATTATGAACTAAAAGACAAATGCATTACTCAAACAAGTCCGTTTACGGGATATCAGTATTTTAAGTTGAATAATCATTAGGTGGAATTGATAAAATCTTCATTTGATGGGGAGTTTATGAATTCGATATAGTTCTACTCTTTACTCATTCTTCATTTGTTAAGGATTCTTTCGAAGGACAATCCGGAGATCCTACAAATATACGTGTCGATTCAAAGGAAACTGTAATATCGATAAACGTAATAATTTTCATCTATGAAAAACTTTAAATAGCTTAACGTGATAGTTGATCGTTGTCAGTTTGAACACACTTTCTGATAAACTGACTCGAATAAATTCTGAACATTAAAACATTGCCAAAATTTATAACATTATAATGAGATGACGATGAGTTGTCCTTAAAAAACGTGCACTTTCTAATATTCATTTTCAAATTTGTCGTTTGCAAATTTTGCTTGATCACCATCTAAAACAGTGATTCTTTCACATTTTCGTGATCCATATCCCCCCTCCCCTCCCCTTGGTTTTGACCGAAAGATAGACCGTTATTCCTGCCACTAAACACACGAGTGACCGCGATTCCCTTACATTTTCTGATTATTTATTCTCAGCAGAAACCGGAAGAAAATCATGAAATTGATTCAAAGATAGAGAAAATTGTTGTAAAACGTTTTTCGGTGATATGGAAGAAATCATTTCCTCATGAACAAACAAGCATTTTGAAAACATCGTTGAACAGTTGTGGAAGATTTGTGAAAGCAATCAGCATTTGCCTTTTCCCTTGATGTCCTCAAACTCAAATCCCTCTCTGCGAGAATTTCTCCCCTATGAGGTACGCTGGTCCAAACTGTATCATTGATTGAGTGAGATTAGTGCGTTACGATTTAATGACTGGAAGAGCGATTTTTCGAAACGTTCACGTTCAGCAACGCAAGAATCAATGGAAAAGAACGTATTTCTGTGGTGTAACATCATTGTGATTATCTTAATTACTCAATATTAATTAGTACTGCAAATATTGCAGTACTAATTAATATTGAGTAATTAAGATAATATTATTAAGATAAGATAATATTTTAATATTAAGATAATCGAGCAATATTTTAAGATAATCGAGCCGTATGTCGTGCGTGTCGTTTCATGAAATGCCTTAAAGCTGGCATGAAAATAGATGGTGCGTTTGTTTAGCTTATGCTCTTCAATCAGTTACTTTTTTTCCGAATGATACTTCATGTTTAGAATTTGGAAATGTGAGATTATGAGAAGCGTTGAGACTTTCAGCTGTCCAAAATGAACGTGATGTGATCGGTAAACGCCATCGAACACCGTCAGCATCAAGTACAGCCACTGGATCTTCTGCGTTTATTTCCATATCTACGCCCAAAGTTGGAGGAATCCGGCGACCATCTTTAACGCGACCCCTATCTGGGTAGTTCAACTGAAAATTTTTAGAACCTGATCAATTTCATAGCTATATTCAGTCATCATTCATATATAGTATTATATCAACAAATGAGTTATTTGTAGCAGATTCTGAAATGTTTGCAATTCTGAATTCAAAATATAATCGTATCAAAATTAATCCATTGTTTTTTTGGAAAAAAGTCAAATTCATTATGAACGTGTGCATCTGTGATGTGTAAGATTTTGCTTTTTTTCGCGGATTGTTCCAAGTGGTCTCATTTTAAGTCATTACTCGCCGCCATCCACATCATCATCGCCTGTTTCCGGATGGGACACACCAAAATCTTTATTGGAAAGTCTACTGCGATCTGAGGAAAATATACAGAGTTTACGTGAGGCAGTTATCAGGCAAACCGGTCTTGTCGATTACAGTGTCAAGAAAGAACCCTCAGTAAGTTGTACTCATTTGAAACTCTGCCTTGAAGATGCTTCAATTCAGAAGGCATCCGTCCTTTCGGAATGCGGATCGGATCGTAAGTTTCACTGACTTAGTGGACCCGAAAATAACCGATCTCAAACGGTAGAGAACCTCAGTGAAACTGGCGAACCAGATGGTCCGATTGTGAGTGCAAGTCTGCAAATATTAATCTGCAAATAAACTAAGAGATCATATCTCCAAGATTTCACACCATCCAATTCCCTCGGAGCGTTCCGTTTCGTTCTGTCTAGTCGNGTTGAATTCAGTCGAATAGACCACGATGTAGTTTGACTGTATCACTTCAAAGAGGTAGGAATTAGTCGAAAAACGATATAGGTCAAAATTGTTCGACGTGCGGTTATAATAGGGACAGAGCACGATGTAGTTTGACTGCAATAGGAATAAGATGATGTAACTGCACATGTTCTATGCAATGATCACTGCACACGTTATAAACAATGATCAGCAGCAATGATTTGATGATGAAAATCAGCGCAAATTACATAAAACTTCTTTTTGTTTGACCACTATTGTTCATTAATCAGTGTTTGTTCGCATCGTGAATCGCTGAGTGTTTCCATTCAACTTCATCAATCTTCTGTAAAAATCTTATCAAAATACATCTCTTAAGTTAGGTTTCGCACGATCCACTAAAATTTCTTTCTCACATTCTTTTCATGTCTGTGGCAAGATCGTTTCTCTTTTTCTCATTTGCACAAATAAATTTTTTGAGTCTTAATTTTAGTCGGCAGACATCACATAAATTTTGTTAGTAAACATTTGCATGAGGATGTTGAGAGTTATTGCGTCAAACATTTAATTCAAAAACGCGATAACCAGAAAATGACAAGATGAGTTATCAGTTTTAATTGACAGACTTCAGATGACAGACTTTAGTTAGTGAGTGACTGACGTGAGCGTCAAAAACAGAATTAAAAGGTTCGCTTCATTTTGCATTTATCAATAATTTAACTCACCAAAAGTCTTTCACTGTAAAAGCAACTAAAAGGATGCACAGTTTTGTGCATAGTTGACGTCTATAACTAAAAATAACTTAAGAGGATTGCGTAATAATGATGATTGCATAGTAACGATTGCGTAATAAATTGAAATTACAAGCAGTTTCGTCATAGCTCGTCAAAAAGTAGCTGGCAGAAATTCCAGTCTTGACGTATGTCACTCAAGTTCACTGATAAATAAAATAAAATCACGATGAGATGTTCATTGAAAAAGAAATGAACTGGGGAGAAGACAGATTGAGGTTAGGTCAAAACTGAAAAACTGG